ATCCTGTCACTCACGATGTTGTACTTCAAGATGGATCTAGAAATAACTTTTTTTACTATAAAGGCAACCCCGTTTTTCCTTGTCTTTTCATCTCCAGAGTAATATATCATATGGCCATCAGACTCAAAATGCCCCATGCGAAAGCAAAGAGAAGAAATCAAGCTATTAAGGAGTTGAACAGAAGATTTAAAAGGGCAGTGTGGGAAGACAAAGTAAAATATTATAATCAAATGTGTAAAGAGCTGGAGTCAGAAAATCAAAAGGGCTGAACTCACTTGGCATTCTTAAGCTAAAGGAACTGAAGAACAAATTCAGGCCTTGAGTTACAATACTTAAAGATGCTTTGGGCAGAATATTAAATAATCCAGGAAGTATTAAAAGAAGATGGAAAAACAGAGGAGGGAGAAAACTGTTTAAAAGGGATGTGTGATTAGGTATTATTGTCATGACAGGAGTCCAGAATGAAGGCTTCATAGTGGAATGGACCTGGGGGTGCAGGGATTGTAAAACAATAAAAGAATTTTTCTTTTACTTTTCAAAGAGAAGAGTGTTCTGGGGGGAGGGGTGGGCAGGAAGAAAAGTGCAACAGTGAATGAATGGAAATCCAAAGTCTCTGTAAATTTTCATTAAAATTAATTTTAAAAAAGAAGATGGAAAGAGTATAAGGAGTAGTCAGTTGTACCAAATAGAATTGGTGGACACAGAAGAATTTCATGAAACAACGTATGGACAAGAGCCTGTGGTGATGAAGGAAGAAGTTCAATCTGCTCTGAAAGAATTAGCAAAAACAAGACCTCAGGAATTGATGGCATAACAATTGACATATTTCAACAAACAGACTCTGCCCTGGATATGCTCACCAATTTGTGCCAAGAAATCTGGAGGACAAACACCTGGCCAGCTGACTGGACGAGATCTATCTTTGTTTCCATTCCAAAGAAAGGTGACCCAATAAATGCAGAAATTATCGAACAATATCATTGATGTCATATGCAAGCAAGATTCTTCTGAAGATTATCAAGAAACAACTGGAGCAGCACATCAACAGAGAATTGCCTGAGGTGCAGGATAGGTTTAGAAGGGGCCATGGTACTAGGGATATTATAGCTAATGTTAGATGGATCTTGGCTGAAAGCAGGAAATGTCATTGACTATGCAAAGCCATTTGACTGTGTGGATCACAACAAACTCTGGCTGACTCTGAGAAGAATTGCAAACCCAGAACACAGAGCAAGGAAACTCTGCATGGTTCAAAATTGGGAAGGGAGAACACCAGGGATGTGTCCTATCTCCATACCTTTTCATGCTATATGCAGAACAGATTATTTGGGAGACTGTGCTATATGAGGAGAAATGTGGCATCAGAATTGGAGGAAGGCTCATCAACAATCTGCATTATGCAGATAATACAACCCTTCTTGCTGAAACTGAAGAGGACCTGAAGCACTTGTGGCAGAATATCAAGGACTGAACCCTTCAATATGGGTTGAAGCTCAATATTAAGAAAACAAAGATTTTCACCACTGGGCCGATTGGCAGTGTCATGATAGATGGTGAAGAGATTGAGATTGTAAAAAGCTTGGGTTTGCTTGGCTCCACAATCAAACACACCAGCAGCCAGTAAATTAAAAGACTAAATGCATTGGGAAAGTCTGCTGTCAGAGACCTCTCCAAGGTACTGAACAGCAATATAAGTCTGGAGACTAAGGTGCACCTGATCTAGGCCATTGTCTTTGCAATTACTTGCTATGCACTAGAAAGCTAGACAATGACTAGGGATGGTAGAAGGAGAATTGATGCCTTTCAGCTGCGGTACTGGAGAAGACTATTTAATATACCATGGACTGCTGGAAAAAAACATATTCGTCCTAAAGAGAATGAGACCAGGATGCTCCTTGGAGTCAAGGATTCTGAAACTCCGTCTGACATACTTTGGACATGTTGCAATGGGGGACAAGTCCTTGGAGAGGGACATCATGCTTGGGAGGGTGGAGGGACAGTGCAAGAGAGGAAGACCCTCAGTGAGATGAATTGATTCAATGACTAGGGTAATGGGAGTAGATGTGTCAGAGAAGGTACAATTGGCACAGGATAGAGCAGGATTTAGGGCTGTTGTACATGGAGTCACTATGAGTCACAGGTGACTCGATGACACATGACGACAGCAACAACATATGCTTATATTAGCTGAGTTTCGTGTTGTTGTTGTTGTTGGTGTTAAGTGCCGTCGAGTCGCAGGCGACTCATAGCGACCCTATGAAGGAGAGTCCTCGACACTTGGCTGTCTCTCATCTTCTCTCCAGGTTCATAGGGTTTCCGGAGGCAAGCTATTACGGAAGTGGATGCCACTCCTCCTTCCAAGCCGAGTTTCATATAAGCTCTTAAAATCCAAATTCTAACACTGCTTTATGACACTTTTCCTTAAAATATAGGATTTCCAGTCATTCATTGTTGTATTTAATATTATTTTTAGTTGGTATAAGCAGAAGGACTTCCACCCGCCCGCGGCTTCCAGGCTCCCCGTTCTGCGCCGCGGCGTGCTCTCTGTCTCCCCTCAGCACCTCATGACCGATTTTGGCCCTGTACCTGTAGTGTGACACAACCCTGCTTGCTGAAATCGAAGAGGACCTCATGCACTTGCTGCAGAGGGTCAAGGACTGCAGCCTTCAGTATGGACTGAGGCTCATTGTCAAGAAGACAAAGATTCTCACCACTGGACCAATTGGTAGCATCAGGATGGATGGCGAAGAGATTGAGATTGTTCACAGCTTCAGTTTGCTCGGCTCC